TGTCAGTGGTTTACCACTCTTCAGAAACTGATTTATTTAAATTTTAGAGAGCAGAAACATATCCCTAGACAACACACTGTAAAGACTTGTTTATAAAGTGGACCCTTTTCTGTTCCCAAACACCTGAGTAAATAGGTAAATATTCTGCCCAGCTGGACCTTAAACATCTAGGCAAACTAGCAGATCGGCCAGAGGCATTAAAAGATGAGCAATAGGGTCATTGTCTGGTCCAACAGTCAGCTTCAAAAGACAGAGATTGACATCCAGTGGTTGATCCAGCTATCACAATATTTATTTTGAGACAAACAGAATAATGGTGTGGAGAGGAGCAAAAGGAGAATTTATGGGTGTCTCATCAGACACATAGACAAACACTAAGAAAAACAGCCCAAATGCGGGGCAACTTTTTACACATGCTTGTTTTAGTAGATGTGGCTCCCTTTATCAAGATTCTATTGGTGAAGATGCAAAGGACATTTTTCCCCTAGATTGATCTGTATATCAAGGAAAAGTAGAGCCCAGACAATCTCTGTAATAACTTCTGGAGAGGCTCATTTGTCTCATGTCACAGAGCATGGTTTCTGTGGGAGAGAAATAGAGGTGAGGAGGGAAGAAGAAGGAATCCCTTAATATTCTCTAGCATCATGGCCTATAGAGGTACTTAGGACTATATTTTTTGTGAGAATTTTTAAAAATTAGTCAAATACATGTTAAAACCTAAAGAAAGACAGATATTCAATACCTAAGAAATATGAATTCTAATGGGGTTTGGATTCAAGCTACAATGTGTATATACATATGTGCTCATATGTGTGCATATGAATTATTAATATAATGTTTGTGTATGTGGTTACTGCCTTATGGATATTAAGGTTCTTAAGATTGAAGGAAAACAATTTTTTATGTACCTGTTTTACACAGAAAAATACATGTGCTTTATAAGTTTAGTAACTTTAGTAAGTTAGATTGTTTAGGGCTTCGAGAATAATATCAAAGATTTTGGTATTCATAAAAGACATACAGTATCTTTAAAGTGTTAAGTAGGGGAGTGAAATAACCAGATATTTATTTTAATATCATACTCTGGCTTCTGAGTAGGAAAAAGATTAGAAGAGGATGATGGTAAATGAGGTAGAACTGTTAGGGAGCTGTGTGGAGATGATAGGGCTTGGTCTTGGGTGATGGGAGTGGAGATATGGGGAAGTGGACAGATTCAGGATGCAACTAAGAGGCAGCATTGGCAGGACTCAGTGGTGGATTGGATGTGGGGCTAAGGAAGAGGAAAGCAAGGCCAAGTAAGTCTCCTGCGTTTCTGGGATGAGCAACTGAGTGAATGGTGTTGAGTAATGAAAGAGGAGCACATTTGGAATGAGGGTGGGTGATTAGAGAGAAAATGAGTTCATTTGGGGGCACATTCAATTTGAGATACTTGTAGGACAAATGGAGATCTAGAGAATGAGAAGTTGGTTGTATGCATCTGAGCTCAGAAGAAGGTCTTGGAAGGAAACACAAAGTAAATTAAAAGTGATATTTGAAGTCATGAGAGTGGTGGAGATGCTGGAGAGTGAAGTAAGACACAAGATCATGAACAAAAGTGAAGACACAAAGAGGGCCAAGACTTAACTGCAAACAATTTCAACATTTAAAAGGTAGATTGAGTGTGGGGAGTTTACAAAGAAGACTGAAATGGAGTGATTGGAAAGGTAGGAAAAAAGTCAGCAAAGCATGTAATCATGGTATCCAAGGGAAAAGAACATTTCTAGCAGGAAGAAGTCGATGAGGAATCAGTACAGACGAGGATTGGAAAATGTACGTTGCATTTATCAATATGGAGGGAGGTCGCTTGTGACCCAAGGAAGAGCAGATTTAGTTGAGCAGTGGGAACAGAAGGCAGAATGGAATTGCTTAAGAGTGAATGCAATGTGGCAATGAAGGCTGCTCGCAAAGAGGCTCTTTGGATAAAAGTTGCTGTGATAGGGAAACAGGGAGGGGTCAGAAGCTTGAGAAGCATGTATGATTCAGGGAGTTAGTAACTGTTGTTATGTTGGTTTTTTAAAGTGGAAAGACTATAGCATTTCTGAATGCTTATGGGTAAGTGTCCAGGAGGTAGCAAGAATTTGAGGATATTACTACAGTATGGACTAAGCACAGAGGCAGCTGGGCAGAAACACAATACTAGAGCCAGAAGAAAACCTCGAAGGCCCAAACCAAAACACACACACACACACACAGACACATACATCCCACTACCACCACTGCCCCTGAGAAATAAGTAGCTGGTCAAAGGCATTTTACAGGGCTCATTGTTAGTCATGTAAGATACCACATGTGCCAGGACAGTGCTAATTTCTTTTACAGCAGCTCGATCCCACAGCATACTAGAATAGAAGCTCGATGAAAGCCAGTTTTTCTTTATAGTATTTCCCAGTGCCCAGAATTGTGATTGGCATATGGTAAGCCCTCAAAAAACCCTTGCAGAGTAACTGAGTGAATTAGATATGTTGGGTTGTTTCAATTTTGCAGAGGAGGGAACTGAGAATTAGAGAGGATAATTTATTTACCCAATCACAAAGACAACAAGTAAGTCTATCTGCATTTGTACACAATCAAGGCTTTTGATTTACTTGCTGAGTTACCTCCCATTTTGCATCCTATTGGATGAGGCAAACACTCTTTTAGAATTTTTATGTACCTACAAGTTACCCCCATTATGCCAAGAGATCTTGAAGTATTACAATCAGGCTCATTAAAGTGTTTAAATGTCTATCTAACATCAGTTTGATGACCTATGAAGGGAAGCCATTGCCGGGTTATCCAGGTCCTTGTTTTAGAGACAACCAACAAGCGTGAGCTCTCTTTCTTTTCCCTTCAAACCATTTACCATTTTCCACTCAGGCATCCCTGTGATTCCCGTATGCTTTCTTGTGCTCAGCTGTGGATGTACTTTTCTTGTTTTCCTTTCTCAGCCCAATCCCTCAAGATAGCTTCGCCTATCCCTCTTAACTTGTGCCAGGATTAATCATTATCTTTTTTCTTTCTTTTCTCTTATCTCTGCCTCCACTCCAACTACCAAATCCCAGCTTTCATCCCGCTTTTCAGGGAAGCTAATGTCTCATGACATTGTGAGGGCCTGGAATCTCCAGAAGGCCATGGGTTCTGTCACACTGAACAATAGACTTTATGAACATTTTACACTTAAAATCTGAACTTTGAGAAGTAGAATCAGAGCAGTTCTTTGTAATCACAAATAGTCATTTTAGCATAGGAAGAACTGAAAGGAAAAGAGTTCTAAGTACAAGGAGGAGGGTCAATGAAAGGTGATAAATCCTGACAAAACAAGAAGAAAAATACTTCCTTTGGATATGGTAGGCTTGTTTCTAATGAGGAAGGCTTGGAATTCTGAATATTATCTATAGCTTATTATATAATTATGTCTAGGTTAATTCTATAGTAAACTGTGTTAGTTCCCATTGTTGCACATGAGTTCAATTCCCAAACGATCCTTGCTCGTCTTGGTAAAGGTGCATTAGAGAGCCTCTTCAGGTAGTGTCGTGCACAGAGACCTTTAACAGGCTTGACTCCAACTGACTGCTGAAGTCACAACAATTATGATTAGTCCAGTGGGTCATGTAAACAGTACACCTACAAAATCCTGTGTGACAAAGTTTTATTTCTATCTGGATGGATTTGGATGTACCATAGGCTTTAGACTTTCTTAATCAGTCCTCTGACTCAGAGGCAGTGAAAATAGACTCTTGGTTATTGGCTTAACTCTACATTCCTGGAACCTTTTATTATGACCATGACCATGCCTCCCACTCCTAGATGGTATTGTAGTGCTCATCTAACAAAGTTTTACAGTGAAAGGTCTTGGATCTTCTAGATGAGAGAAAAAAAAACTGTTTAATTCTAAGTATATGGATTCTTCCTAGTTACCAGAGTAGAATTTATGCATTTTACAATTTGTGTGCTCCTGTGCTTCAATCCTCAGTTACCAAATTATCTGAGAAAAGATTAAATTGCATTCCTAATTCAGAGATGTCAGGTTGGTTAAGTGCCTAGGGCAGTATCGAGTGCTGGCTTCTGCTCACTCATCTCTAATATACTCTAGTGGCACTTCTTGCCTACTTGCAATTTAGCAGTCTCATGGAGACCTGGAAGGAGGGTGACAGGAATTCAGAGTTGAATATCAAATCCACCGTGTATCTTTCTTTAGACAAGTAAATTAACCTCTCTGAATCTATACTTCTGTATTTAAAAATGCATAGTTTGGGATGAGTAACATTCATTTATTTCTTCAGATATTTATTGTGTTTCTTCTATTTTTTAGACACTGGACTTTCTGCCTGAGATAAAATATTGAACAAAATAAACAATGTTCCTTCCTTCGTGGGTCATACTGTATAGTAGATACAAAAGATAAACAGCCAAGCAATTATAATGCAGTGAAATACACGATACCAGTGAATGCATAGTTTCCAAAATCATGTGCTGTCAACTTGATTGATCCTTCAGGTAGATTGCCAATTATTTGCATTTCTTTGGCTTTGTTGTGCAGTCTTTATCGCTTCTGTGCCTTTAAACATGTTCCTTCTGCCTAGAATAGCATTTACCCTATTCTTTACCTAGCTAATGTCTATCTAGTTTTCAAGGTCCAGTTCAAGTATTTCTTCTCAGGGAAACCTTTGAATATCTAAGTCTGGTTTGCATGTTTCTTCTTTTGATCTCCTAGGTCTCGTATGCATGCTTCAACCATAGTAGCTGGACTTCATTTATTCCCTTACCAATACCACTATGAGGATTTGAACTCATCCAGTGAAGGAATCTCATCTTTCACCTCTTTATTCCCAGAATGCAGTCTAGTGTTTGGTATATAGCAAATGTTCTGTAAAGATTTGCTGATCATATGAATATCAAACATTTTTTGAACACCTACCACCTACGGTCACGGCCACCCGGGCGCAGAGGACAGTCGCAGCGGGCACCGGCTGTGCGGCGGCGGCGGAAGAATGTTGGCTACCAGCGTGTTTAGCCTGGTTGGCAAGCGAGCGCTTTCCACCTCAGCGTGCGTGCGAGCACATGCACACGGAAGTGTTGTGAAGAGTGACGACTTTGCTCTCCCACGTTATGTTGATCGGCGTGACTACCCCCTGCCTGATGTGGCCCATGTCAAGCACCTGTCTGCCAGCCGGAAGGCCTTGAAAGAGAAGGAGAAGGCCTCCTGGAGCAACCTCTCCCTGGGTGAGAAAGTCCAGTTGTATCGCATTAAGTTCAATGAGAGCTTCGCTGAGATGAACAGGGGCACAAACGAGTGGAAGACGGTTGTGGGCACTGCCATGTTCTTCATCAGGGGCCACGGGGGCCGGGCAGCTGCTGAGCCCCGAGACACCAGGCGGCCCCTTCCCTGGGACCCCCAAGGAGAAGGTGGAGGCCGACCACAGATCCGTCTACGCGGGCAACGTGGACTACGGGGGCACGGCGCGGGAGCTGGAGGCCCACTTCAACCACTGCGGGGAGATCCACCGAGTCACCATCCCGTGCGACAAGTTCTCCGGACACCCCAAGGGTTACGCCTACATAGCATTCGCCACCGAGCGCTCTGCCCGGGCGGCCGTGGAGCTGGACGACAGCGCCTTCCAAGGCCGGGTAATCAAGCCTTCCGCTTCCAGGTGCTGCCCAAAAGGACCAACTTCCCAGGGATCAGCTCCACGGACCGTGGGGGCCTGCGGGGCAACCCAGGCTCCAGGGGGGTGCCCTTCCCCCACAGCAGCCTCCAGGGCAGGCTCCGGTTCAGACCCTGCAGGCAGAACCAGGGCCAAGGAAGGTTCTCACCGTACTGAAGGGAGGCCGGAGGCCACCAGGAGTGTGCAGTTGCGTCCTGCGGGGCCACTCCTTCCAGAGGGGCAGGGTCTGGTGTTGCCAGGTGGGGTGGGGAGCAGGGGGTGAGGCCAGAAGTGAGGTGCGTGCAGAAGGCTCCACCTGGGCTGGAGGAGCCCCCCAGGCCTCACACGGGACCGGGCCCACGCTGCAGCCACAGGCAGGGCGGGTGGGCCTGTTTCTGTGCTTGAGGGGCCCTGGGCGGTAGGGGGTGGGGGTCACGGGCCCAGGCCACGCAGGGCTGGCTCTGGGTCGTGTCCCCGGCTCTTCCACTGACTTGTTTTAAAGAAAAATAGAAATGTGTGTGTCTTAATGGTAATGCATAACTTATTAAATTTGAATATTTTTTAAAACCAAAAAAAAAAAAAAAATGTGCCAGGCACTGTGAAAGGACTTACTTTCATCATCTTATTTACTTTGATTTTCACAATAACTCTCTGTTATTGTCTTCCGGCTGTTATCACCACCTTTTAGTGATGGAAAAACCGAGGCTCACAGAGGTTCAATAATTTTCTCAAGGTAACACAGATAGAGGGACAAAACCAGAATTTGAAGCTGGTTTGCCAGTTATTTCCCTCTTTTATTCCACCACTGTTTGAAAATCATGGATTTTATTGTATTAACATTTGTGTGTGTGCACACAGGGAGAAGTGGTTGTAAAGGAGATCACCTTCTCCAAGAGGAAATTCAAGGCTAATGGTTTTTATGCAATATTTGCAAAAGCTGGTATAAATCTACTCTTGGGTAATTTGGCTCAATAGTAGGAGAAACAATGAACTTCTTCAAATGAATAGATGTCTGTGCATAGATATCTCTGTGAAACAAGGTTATGGTAGGGCCTGATCTGCATACCTCTGTAACATATATATATATATATATATATACACACACACACATGTATGTGTATATATAAAATATGCAGATATATGTATATATCTCATTAGGAACACTTTGTTTATAAAATATCCTAGGATACTAGGGAGAAACAGAGAAACAGGTCGAGATATCCAGGGCCTTGGGGACATTAGGATTATAAACAGAGACAGTTATGCAGTTTTCAGGAAAGACACTGTAATTATGACCCACTCAAATACAAAATTTGGGCAATGGGCTGTACTGAGCCCTATGAAATGTGTGGAAATGGTTGTAGAATGTTTTCTGCCAACCAGAGGAAAATTGTGCATTCATTTAAAACCAGAACACCCAAGTTCCCACTTGTCTAGACTATAGAAGTCATCCCAAATATTGAAATAGTACATATTTTTTGTGCTTTCAAGAAACATAATCAAGTAGCCAGATAAAATCTTAGCTATTTTTTTTTTTAGTTGGACACAGTGGCGTAAAATATAGCAGAAATACTATAAAGCCAATGTTTGTGCTGTTGAAAAAGCTCACATTCTGCAAAATTGAACACTGAAAATAACAGGGCCCATGGGGAAAATGGGTGGGGGAGACCACTTAAGACTGTGAAATTTGGAAAGCAAAACACTAAAAAATGCAAAATAATTACTTTCAAAAAATTACTGGCTTAGATCACCCCCTAACAGCCTTGGCACTTGGCTTCGGAGTCAGTTGGCCACTAGCAGCCTTCAAACCCGGGGCTTCTACTTGTTCCTTTGAGATGTATGAACCATTTTTATCAAAACTAAAAATCTGATCTAATGTGTAGACTTTCTCATTAATCCTTTGTTTTAATACAGGGTTTAACGTCTTTGTATGTTCTAAATCTGTGTTGGCAGCTTCACCAGTGAGTTTTAACATAATTGAATATGTAGAGATGTTCTTGAAGCACTAAAGGAAAGCGCTTTTGTGGATTTTTCAGCAATTTTTTAAAGATCTTCATCAATTGTATGCTTTTTCTTTAATTGCGACAAAGCTTGCTCTGGATAACTTTAAAACATTAAGCTATTGGAAAACAATATATAAGAACCAATGCTACTTCTATGTGATAAGAACATCTTTCCCTATTTACCAGTCATATATGGAGTAATTTGCATAAAAGAATTGGCTGTTTTACAAGAACAGATTCTCCTAATTCATGTGATATGTAAGGTTCCAACATCATGCAATGAATGCTAGATAAGTCTATATAAAACTCTGACTCATTGACTGTTTTTAGAACCTTCTTCTTTTTAATCCATACCAGTGTTCTACAATAATAACACAGTAAACAAAATTTTGCTTATAGTCTAGCAATATAGAGTAGCCATGTGTGGTGGAGGTGGGTTTTAGGAAAGTATGCGGTAGTACCATAGGAAAGAAAAAAGAAACAACAACAACAAAAAACACCTCTATAAGCCTAGTAAATAGTTTTAACTGTGCTGCTAGATTTATTTTACATCAAATAATCATGGACCTGAATGTTTCTTCTCCAATTAGATGTTTCTTCTTTTCTTCTTTTCTTCTTTCTTTCTCTTTCTCCTTCCTTTCTCTCCTTCATTTTTCATTCTTTCACTAATATTTTCTTTCACCTGACCATCTTTTTTCCCCTTTATTCATTGCTCATTAAATGTCTACCATGTCCCAGAACACTGCTGTATCCTGGAGATAAAATATGAACAAAAGCAGAGTTAGAGTATTGTGGGGAGATAGACCTTAGACACAAAATCACACAAACAGATGTAAGTTAACAGGTTATTAGTATGATATTACCAAGGAGAGGAGCTATAAAAGCATGTAACAGAGGCATATTCTTTACTTTGAGGAAATCAACTCAGAAGAATATGCAGATTAATTAGGTGAAGAGAGGAGGGAATATCATTCCTGCCTGACACTTGAACCCTGCAGCCCAAGTGACCACAAGGCTTATGAGGGGCTGAAGGAAAACCAGCGTGGTTGGATAACAAAGAGCTAGGAGGGGTTTTGGGGTGGAGCCAGATCATGTAGGGGCTGGCTAGCCTGGGCTGGGATAAAGATTCTTATCTTTTATCCCAGAGAAACAGGACTCATTGAACTGTTTTAAACAAGGAAATCTATGATATGATCAGATTTGCATTTTGCAAATATGTCTCTGACCACAGTATGAGAAGATCACTATATAATTTTTGTGCTTGTTGCAATTTTGCATCTTCAATATATTTCTGCAACGAAAGAGCAACACTGAGGTTTGCATTCTTATTTCCATTTTGGAGATAGAGAGAACGAGGCCTCTATCTCCAAAAAGAGGAGGAGAATGCAACCTTTGCTTGACTAAGCCTGTTTTGTTCCTTGTATTTCTTCTAAGGAATATCAATATTGTGTGAGATGACATCCCAGCTATGAAACAGAGCATAGCTGAGCAAAGCATAAAATAATTTCTCTTTTCTTTGAACAGAGATACCCAAATCCCTCATCTTTTCTACTCTCAATCTGGAAAACAGCTTCTGCTTCCACCTGAGCTCTCATTTGTGAGCTGCTTCTGTTTCGGTTTTACTGGAGGTGTTTTCAGGTTTTTCTGCCACATTAAACATGCGCATCTCCAGGATCTAGCACTGAAAAGAGAAGTTTGAAAAGATCACTAGAATTTGCAAAAGAATAGAAGAAAAAGAAATTGGAGTTTTGGCAGGAGACTATCTACCTGAGGACACCTTGCCTCATTCCCTCGGCAACCATGCCTGCTATTAACAGTTTTCATAAATAATTCAAGTCTTCCCATTTACACTGTCCATAATCCCTCTTGAGGAGGCAACAACACAATGAGTTTCCTTATTTAGGGGTTTCTGGGTAAGCAAGTCACACTCCTGCCAGCTCTTCCTCCTTGTCTCAAACTACCATAGTGTGGGATCAAGAGGTCTAGCAATGTGCTGCGTGTGGTGCAGAAATTAAAGGAAACACTAGATCCTTTTCAGTAAATTTTACATTTAATTTGCCAAGCCTATGCTCTGTACCTCCTTTAACGACACGTTCTTTCTCACCTCTTAGAAAGCAGAGCAGCTCTGAGGGCACCATCTTAATAACCAATGGGTTCTGCACAGCTAACGGTAACAGTCCACTTGGCCAGTTCTGACTGCTGGCAATACTGCTTGAGGCAAAGTTAGGAGAGGCAGGACCTGGGCCAGAAGTAAGAAATTGAAGACGAGGGCACCAGCTGTAAATTTTTCACTTGTCTAATGGACTGTATTTTTAGGGTCCTGAAGCGAGGTAGCTGGTGCAGAGGAATTTCATTATCACAAAAGTGTGTGAAGCAAGAATTCCCCCTAGTCCTTTGTCATGATCAAATCTTTGAAGCTCCCAGATGATAAATGGGTGTCACAGAAACTTATCTAGGACCCAATTGCTTTGATTCTGAAGTGTGATCACTGATCTCATGATTTAAAATGCACCCACACAATTTATCAGGTTAGGGTGAAGACATTTCTATACCGCACACAAATACACATTCCTAGCATCAGCCTCCTAACATTGAAATGTTCATTAAGCAACAAGTAATGAACTGAGCTGGGTGGAAATTGAGCAGGTTTGGGAACACTTTACAATTTTAAAAAGTTGTATGTCCTCCACTAAAACACACAATGACTTGGAATTAGACGCAGAGATGGAAAGAAGAAAGACAGAATAGAGGAAAGAAAATTGAATTAAGAGAGAATGGCAAGAGAAAGTCCAAAATAATGAGAAACAATGAGGGGGAGAAAGAGAGAAAGACAGAGAGAGAGAGAGAGAAAGAGAGGGGGAACATATCAAAGACATGCTTCTTAAAGCAGTAAAGAATGTGAGGGACTGAGATCATAGAATACTTCAGAACACTCTTGGATAGGTAATCAAGCAGGAGTGTTTATTAGGTTGAATACACTATTCTTATTTATGGTATACATTGTTTTTAATCTACTTCTAAATATGAACTTTTAAACACTTCCTAGAATGAGATGAAGTATAAGTAAATAATTAAAAACAGAACCAGAA